TTATAATGCTCAGGAACAGAGTTAAAAAATAAATTGCAACCACTGTTTCCTGACATCATCTGCTTTCGGAAGCCCAAACAAAGACGTTTGGGCACGGAGGTGAAAAAAAACAGCGTTTCAGGTGGTCGCACACCGGACGACAAGCGCAGTGTTGCGTCGCGCTACGTCTTTAAAATTCAAATACATCATTTTTTACACCGGCGGCATCGTTCTGTCCATGGCATCCAGTTACGTCGTGTTGTACTTGTAAGAATTGTTCTAGACATGCCGAAAATTTTAAGCTACAGCACAGCAGCTCTTCTTCTTGGTTTTCTCTGATGCACTAACTCTGCAGCAGCACTTCTTCTTCGTCGTCTCGTCTCATGCGCTCACTCAACCAAGCGTTCTAACCACAACCTCGCCCCTCCCCACCCCCCAACTATTCGAATCTCCATAGGCGGGAAATATTTGTACAGATATTCCAATGAGCCGCTTTGTGATATCACAAAGCCCGGAAAACAAACGCTGTAGTCCAAACGAGCCGTTTGCTGTAGTTCTTGAAAAGGGATTTTTAAAAAACGAAATATCTCCCTTTGGAGTGGATTTTGAGATTTGTAACTTTCTAGATATTTTTTATGCCCAAACATACACACGACACACTGACTGCAATTAAAAAAGTGAAAAAGCATAATAGGACCCCCTTCAACTGAAGTGTTTGAGTTCTTAGATGGTCTCGCTGTGCGATGGTACGGCGTGTGGGGGCGCTTTGTCGCGCTCACCAAGGTGAAAGCCAAAAGGTCTAGAGAGAGAGAGCGAGCGGCGTGAGAGCCTTGTGTCCATTTTAAGCAGGCTGACCTTTGGTCCGCCCCACGACGCGATCTTCCAATCGGACGCTGTTGCAGGACTTAGCCACGCCCTGTGTGGTTCCTTTTTTTCATGCACAAGTCACATGCCCTTGTGGGGCGTACTTCTGGAAGTTTCAAATAACTTCTGATAAAAGTCTTATCACCAGAGAATGATACATAATATAAAATTTTCACTAACACCAATGTTCGGCGAATAAGACAAGCTCCCACCCGATATTAATCTTCACATATCTTACACACATATTAAATTCTTTGTCTGCTAAAACGAGTTATAAGGCAAATATTAAAATATCATGGTTTCAATAACTCATCACACATATATATATATACGGCATAACACATACAGTGGATACATTTTCACTACTTATGAGTTTTAAACGCTTATCTGTTAAAATCGTCATGCAAGGTTCTGTTTCTTTTGTTGTCAGAGAAGTTTTGTAAGGGTTTCAGACAGGGCAGGAAGCAGGTGGTCAAACGTGATAGATCCCGTGCTTGCAGGCCCGAGGGCGTAATTAAATTACTGTCCTTTTCCTGTTTGGACATAATAGTTCCATCCATTGGTGGTCACAAGACATTGTGGTTTCTATATGTTGTGAACAAACCTTTTCAGCCCTTGATACAAAGAAAGCTTTGTTGTCTCTTGATTGGATCAGTCTTTAATCACTCCTCTGAGTAGCAAACCTCATGATGGCTGATAGGGATATAATAGTAGTGTCCGTATATGATAGAAATCCTTTCATTTACAATAACTGCTTTGGGTGCGAGTGATCTAATGTTTAGGAGCCCAAGCTTTAAAATTGGTTTTTGTTCATTTATTTAGCATTTTACCGGTCTAATCACGATCAGATTTTTTCTAGATCCTGCATTAAATTTATATTTTGACCTCACTATTCGGGGAACAGACACAGTCTTTATAGATTGGACAGCGCAAGTACTTCTATCATTTAAGCGGGTAGAACACAAGTCATCAGGGCAGTTATTTGAGAATTGGCTTATTAGTCACATGGAGCGTAGCGTCCTGGAGATGTTGTCCGACATGAGATCCGCTCCGACTCTGCTGGGGTGCAGGCCATCAGCGCGAAAAAGCCTAGGACGCTCCCAGAAAAGATTCCAATTATTAACAAAGTTTCTGTTCTTTACACCATGACAATAACCATTCATTTAAAGCAAAAAGCCTACTGAACTTTTCGTGTCCTCGTCGATACGTGGGAAGCGGTCCTGACACAATGATCGTCGTCGCGGGCGATGTGCGGCGCACCGTCTCGATCAGGCTCCTGAAGTCCCTCTTCAGCATCACCGTCTGCCGCAGCTTGGTGTCGTTAGCCCCCGCGTGAAGCACGACCGCTCCGGGGCTCTCGTCACCCTTCAGGATAGCGGGTATCTGCGCAGAAACATCGAGAACACGAGCACCAGGGAAACAGTGAGTGTGCACTTTACCTTCAGCTAACATAATTACAGTACTTTAATCTTTCCCTGTCTAGCTTGTACTTATTTGAACAATGCTTGAAGCTTGGTATTATGAGCACTTCCTGTGTCTTATTTGCCTCTTTAAGAAGAATCGCTTGGTGTATTATTCCCCAACTGTAAGTCGCTTTGGATAAAAGTGTCTGCTAAATGAATAAATGTAAATGTAAATATGTGAGAATGGGAGTATGCCAGTGAGAATGTTGGTCAGAGGAAGAGCACCAGGGAAACAGTGAGTGTGCACTTTACCTTCAGCTAACATAATTACAGTACTTTAATCTTTCCCTGTCTAGCTTGTACTTATTTGAACAATGCTTGAAGCTTGGTATTACGAGCACTTCCTGTGTCTTATTTGCCTCTTTAAGAAGAATCACTTGGTGTATTATTCCCCAACTGTAAGTCGCTTTGGATAAAAGTGTCTGCTAAATGAATAAATGTAAATGTAAATATGTGAGAATGGGAGTATGCCAGTGAGAATGTTGGTCAGAGGAACAAATTATCATTACAACAAAAGATTACCAAACCCAATTGACCTATCAGTAAGCCCCGCCCCCCTTATTTACTGTTGCTCCCTCGGACAAACAAACGGAGTTGCTCACTGTTTTACAATGACCGCTGCAGTGTGAAAACCTTGTCCCACAATGTTTTTTGCACAATTTTGGACACAGAAGGCCACCAAATGGGAATTAAATATTCCATGGAGGGATTTATAAAATATTAAAAAATAAATACGGTGGGTAACTCAAAGCGAGGGTTTATAAACACAATGCAAGCACAATGTTTTTTGCACAATTTTGGACACAGAAGGCCACCAAATGGGAATTAAATATTCCATGGAGGGATTTATAAAATATTTAAAAATAAATACGGTGGGTAACTCAAAGCGAGGGTTTATAAACACAATGCAAGCGGGAGAAGTCTCATATTACGGTCGTCACGATCGCGGATGACAACATGCAGGATCAGCGCTGCTCACGTATCGCAGGGTACGATTACATTAATGTACATTTAA